TGCTGGGGTGGGAAGGGAAAGGATCCTGGGAAGATGTTGGTCTTGCCTCTCCTTGCACTGCTCTCAGTGGCATGGTCATACCCACACATCACATCACAGCCACCCAGCCCAGTGAGACCAGTGTGTGGCCTCTGGGTTTGATTCAGCTGCTTCTCCACCTAAGTCACCTTGACATTGATTGTAGAGCAAGGAACTGAGTGCAGGGCTCCCAAGTTCTGTACTAAGGCTCTAATCAGGGTGCACCTCTTACACCTTTGTTGGATGGGTGCTTTGGTACCACCATGGTGGTCCCACCTGGTAGCACTGGGACTTGCTGGGTGGTTGCTCTGCCAAGGATTTGCCTGTGGCTGCTCTGCACTTTGCTTTCTTGCTGGTGTGAGGACTCATGCCCAGAGCTGGAAGAGCCTGTGAGGGGCTGAGCAGATGAGAGGAGCAGCTTGGGCTCCTGTTGAAATCCATGGGGAAGCACCCGGCCTTCCTACCATCTGTTCCCAGTTTGCAGCCTGCACAGAGACTGGCTCATGGAAGGTACTACAGAAATCTTGGTTATATGCTTAGAGAGAGCACCACAACTTGGGATGGGGTGCCTGGCTGAGCCCCACTGAATAACCTCTGTCTGTCTGTCTGTCTGACTCTGCAGGATTGGGAGGTTCTAGTCCTGGAGAAGCTAAAGTGGGACCTGGTCTCAGTGATAGCAAATGATTTCTTGGCTCACATCCTCTATCACCTCCCACTGCCTAAGGACAAGATGGAGCTGGTGAAGAAACATGCACAGACCTTTATTGCCCTGTGTGCCACAGGTGGGTTCCTGCTCCCCCCAGGGTGCTGGGGAGGGTGGGCTGACCACTGCAGGCTTGAGTCAGGCTTGCTGGGTGACCTGGGTGTGATCTCCAACCAGCTTTCTGGGGAGCTGAGTGCCTGCCTTCATTCAAATCAGTGCATTTTGCTACTCAAAGACATGTTTTCTATCCCTGAAAAAGTGGGATAATGGTCCTGTGGGCTCTTAGTGGGTGCCTGAAAGATGCCGGGAGGGAGCAAAGCCACCGTGGCACCCCTGGTGCAGGAAGGAGTCCAGGGTAAAGGCAGGCTTGAATCAGCTTTTGTCAGCCTGGGTCTAAGTCACTAGAGCAGCCTCATGTTTAGGACTTCTTTTGGTGAGACAGAGCCTGAGAAGCAGCCTGAGCAGGCTCTGCAGCTCAGCCTCTTTCCCACTGCTCCATCCCCATTTCTCTGCCAAGCTGGAGAGACCCCTCTGCATGGCCCTCTAGTTTTCCAGGGAAATTGCAGTCTGGAGAACTTGCCACATGCATCCTTGCTAACAGCTGCTCCTTTTTGCCCCTTCTGTCCTTGCCCTGGCTCTAGACTACACGTTTGCCCTGTACCCTCCCTCCATGATTGCGACGGGCAGTATCGGAGCCGCGATCCACGGCCTGACGGTCTCCGTGGACAGTGTCACCGGTGAGGCCATCACCGAGCTGCTGGCCAGCATCACTGGCACTGAAGTGGTGAGTGTCCAGGGGGAACAGCAGAGCAGTTGTGCTGCTGGATCTGGTGGAAACCCTTCCTCTGTCTGTTGCTTGTTCCTCTCGGAGGGAGAGGAAATGGGGCTGTTCATAATGATGCTGACCTAGAGATCATCTAGTCCAACCCTCCTGCTAAAGCAGGATGGCCTGGAGCACGTTCCACAGGAAGCATCCAGGCAGGTTTTTAATGTCTTCAGAGAAGGAGATTCCACAACCTCCCTGGGCAGCCTGTTCCAGTCTTTTGTCACCCTCGCAGTAAATAAGTTTTTCCTTATGTTCAGATGGAACTTCCTGTGTTACAGCTTATGCCCATTGCCCCTTCTCCTGTCACCAGGCACTACTGGGAAAAGTCTGGCTCCATCCTCCTTCCACTCATCCTTTAGATGTTTAGAGACATGGATGCCTGAGTGTCTTGATCTGAGCAAGCATCTCTAGGCACAGCACCCTCGGTTGGTCCCGTGGCTACATTTGGCTCCTGCCTGGGAGCTCGGGAGCCTTTGAAAAGCAGCACAAAGGGGAACGTCTGTTCCCTGCACGTACAGGTGTTGGTGGGATCAGGTTGACAAAGTGGGATGGGGCAGAGGGAGAAGCCCAGCTCGGCATCTGCCAACCTCCACTGGTGTCTGGTTGCAGGTGCCCAGACAGGAGGGAAGGGGGTCGGGGGCACAAAGGGCATCAGGATGTTGGCACAGAAGCTTTGCTAGGGACATTGGGATGGCAGGGAGTGTCTGTGTCCCCCCACATCCTTTGAGTGGGCAAGGGGGACCCTGTTGGGCTCCGCATTCCCAGGTTGCTCCTGGTGCATCGAGGGAATCGGGAGCCTTTCTTCTGCCAGGGGCCCCTTTTGATCTTTTCTTCTGCCCGAGCTGGTGCCACAGCAGGGGTGAGTGACAGTCCCTGAGGGCAGCACCGAGAGCTGGAAGTGGAGCCGGTGCCGCTGCAGGGGGGGCTGTGGCCAGGCAGGGAGGGGACAGGGCAGGAGGGCGGTCTAGAGCCGTTGCTGTGGCTTCAGTTGTTGTTGTTAGCTGGAGCCTTTTTGAAGAGTGAATCAGTGCAGCAGCTGCTCTCAAGCTGCTGCGGTGAATGGGGCAGGGCCTGAAACCTGCTCTGGGTCAGGGCTGGTGCAGGGAACAGGTGGGAAGCAGAGAGGGCACCAGGAGGGCGGGGAGGTGAAATGAAGCCCAGCACACCTCTGCTGCCCTCCAGCCCACTCCCCCCGTCCTGAGCCCAGAGGGGGCATCTTCTCCTTCCTCCCAGCCTGCTCAGGGTGAGGTGCTGCACAGAGCAGCTCCTGTAGCAGGAGGAGGCCCCAGGGATGTGTCCACAGCCTTGCAGGGCTCCTGGGGAAGCACCGAGCCTTGGCCTCCTGTGTGTGGTATTGGTGCTTCTTCCTGAACCTGGCCTTGTAGTGTCGCTGGGCTGTGACTCAGAGCCCCTTTGGCTCTGCACTGGAGGAGTGATCCCCCTTCCCACAGCTGCCAAAGCTCAGCCAGGCAGTGCTGGGGTTGTGGGTATGGAGGGGGATGATGGTGCAGGGCTGTGCTGGCTCTGCAGCTGGCAGGAGCTGTTGCCATCACACTGTGGCAGAACTTTGGGAGAGGTTTGGAGCCTCTCTGGACTTCACCCCTCACGGAGCAGGACCAGCCCCACTGGGTGTCTGAGCCAGAGTCCCCACAGCACGGCTGCCCTGCAGAGCAGGGGGCAAGCTGGGCTGTCACCCCTGAGGCTTCACCAGCCTGGCTGTGTGTGGCCAAGCTGGCTGGGAGCAGCCCTGGCAGCAGTGTGGCTGGAGAGGCCGGGCAGGGCTGGCCCCGCGGGAGGCCCTGCAGGAGCTGCTGGGGCGGGAGGCCGCGCTGACGGGAAGCGGCCGGGGAAGGGGAGGTGGGCGTTGCTATTTTCGCTCGCCACATCCTCTGTCAGTTTCTAAGAACCGGTGGTGGATTCCTGGTAAGAGATTTCAGTGTGTGACAATATCCAGCCGGCACACGCGGCCCCAAGGTGTCCAGCCTGGCTCTGAGGTGTGAAATTCCCACCTCGTGCCCCTGGAGAGAGGCAGGACCTGCTGCTCCCACAGCTCTGGGTGCAGCACAGCGCTGGGGTGTCCCAAGTGGAGGAGTTTCCTCCTCTGCTGACAGCTCGTGTGTGGGGGAAAAACGGTGGAGGGTTACAAATGATAATGTCACTGCTTGTCATCCCCTGTGCCTTCCTGTTTGTGGGATTGGTGTGTCCCCAGCAGCGGGTGCCCTGGGGAACGGCGGGTGAGTCACACGGGGCTCCCCACGGTGGGAGCAGGAGGGTACAAGCCTTGTGAGAAGCTGCGTGGCCACAGCAGCGTTTTCATAACAACCCAGCATGTGGTGGTGTTGGGAACATGTGGCTGTTGGGTCTGGAAGGGTCACGTCCAGCTGCCTCGGAGATCCCGAAAGCAATAGGGTGTGCACCACCCAGGGCATCCCATGGGATTCACCCTGTCTGGGCTTGGATCTGGGGAGGGATGGGAGGAGGCAGAGCTGCAGGAGGGTGACTGGGAACAGAGGTGCAGGGAGCTCTGGGAGACCCAGGTTGTAGGGCTCAGGGGGGAGACAGGTGTGGCTCCACAGTCCCCATGTGCATCCATGCTGCTGAACACTGGCCATCAGTCATGGACCTGGGAAGTTTTGGTTGTAAAGGCTGATACAACCTGTGCAGGGCTGTGCTGCTCCACTCTCTGGGTTGTTGGCAGCAGCTGACTGCAGTGGTACCAAAATCACCCACTGCATCCAGGCACAAGCTCAGATGGTTTGAGAAGCTCTGATGGGCACAGTTGTCTATTCCTCAAGAACATGGTCATGCAGGGATGTGGGGAGAAGACAGCCAGAGCGTGGGGCTTCTCCTGGTGCAGGGGTTGTAAAGTACAGACAAGCTGGAGATGCCCCTTGTTGGAGAAAGACTTCTTTGTCTTGTGTGTTTAGATGCTCCAGGGGCCAGAGACGTAGCCCAGCAGCTGCTCAGAGCTATTTATAAGGCTCCCACCTCTAAGCAGCAGAAAACTGAAGCCTCTTGTCTCATTCCTTCTCCCACAGGACTGCCTGAAAGCCTGTCAGGAGCAGATTGAGGCAGCCTTAGCTGAGGGCCTGAAACAGGCATCCCAAACCCAACAGGAATACAGCACAGCCAAGACTGCAGCCTACCCAGCCAGCCAGCCCACCAGCACCCCCACAGACGTCACGGACATCAACCTGTGACCAGCCCCTTCCCAGGCCACCCAGCGTCACCACGGGACCTTGCCCTGGACACCGACAGGTCGCTGCATCCCACCTACCCCTCCCTCAGCCCCTCCACCCATCCTGCTGAGGATCTGCTCTGCTCGCTGGGAGGGCAGAGCAGGATCTGTGCTCACCTGTGGGAGCGGGTGGCCGGGCTGGCTGCTGCAGGTGGCTGGGGTGAAGTGACCCGTTTCCATGGTGGCAGGGCACAAGAATGACTGGGGAGGGAGAGCAAGAGCCACGATGAAGTTACAAAATGTTGCTCAGTTTGAGTTCCTGGTAGCCTGGCTGGCTGCTGGTCACCATCTCCTCAGAGGGGGTTACTGTGATGACTTCCAGCCCCCTGTGGGCCATCAATCATGGATAGTGAGCTGCTCACCCTCGCCTATGTGACCAAAATCCTTCTAACCCCCAACCTCCCTCCCCAGGCTGGGGTGCTGAGGGGCTTAGGAGAGAGAACTGAGTGTCTGAGAGGAGGGAGCAGGTGCTGGTTGGTCCCTTGGTCTCAGTTGCTTTGTGCCAGATTCCTGTGGCTCCTGCGGGTGGCGGGGCTGCTTCTGCTTGGAGGGGAAACGTGTGGCTTGTTTCTTGTTGCCGTTGGAGTTGGGATTTGTGGGGTATTGGCTTGCTTCGGGGGGGAAATGTGCTCCTTTGTCTGCATGGAGAGCAGGAGTCCTGACCTTGGGGAGCAGCCTCCTGGGTGAGATTGGGTGCAGTTGGGGGAATGTGTGTCCCCCCAGTGCAAACCCCAGCAAATCCCCTTGGCTTTCTGCTGCCTCACTGAGGCTGCTTAATTTATTGGTAACTGCTGAGAAATGAGGAGGGAGGAAGACTTTGCAGTTCCTTGGTCTCCTCTCCTTCCAAAAGAGTGCCTTCACCCTTCCTCCCCTTCCCTAGCTCCCCGGGCAATGGTTTGGGTTTTTTATTTTAGGTAGCTTAGGCATCAGACTGGGTTATAAGAAATATATTTGAATGTGCTGCTATAGTCTGAAATGCATTTTCACTCCTCCAAGGCAGGGATCTGGGATCATGTTCAGGAGGGGGCTGCACCTCTCTCCATGTGGGTCCGAGTTGTGTCCTTCTAGGGTGGAAGATTTTGCCACGCACTTGAGTTGAAAAGCGATTGCATTTTTGTATTGTTGTTGATCCTGTCTGTTAGTTTTTATAAAAAATGTTTAAAAAAAAAAATAATGCTGCTTTTCTAAGAGAAAAAAACCATTAAATAGTAAAATTGTATTAACGAGGAGAAGCCAGAGAGACTCTGCAGGGATGGGAGGCAGACTTGCTGCTTGGTGACCTCTGGACATGTGGATCTGTGGCTGTTGTCCTCCTGTGGGGGATGTGGAAAAGGAGGTAGAAAAGTTCCTTTTTGGATGCCACTAGAAACAAAAGTCTTATCAGGTGGAAAAAAAAAAAATGGGGCTGCTGTTCTTCCACTCGCCTGACTTGTCAAGAAGATCCATCTGCCACTGGCTCCTGCTAGCAGGAGGGCCAGGGGTCATGCAGAGCCTTTCTGTACAAAATGAGAAAAAGAATTTTTATATATAAATGAGTTTTAATTTAAGAGTAAACTAGTTTGGTGTTCATACACAGGAGTCCCACTGCTGGGAGAACCAGAGAACCGTACGATGTTCAATAAAGTATTTTAAACAAGTATGAAGGCCTCAAGGGTTTCCCTTTGCAATCCTCCCCTTGCAGAGCTCCTGCCTCTATCCTGAACTGTTCTGGGGTGGGACCCCATCAGCTGGGGGATCTTCTTGAGCAGCTCCTGGAGACTCCAGCCCTGCATTTCCAGGAGCCACAAGAGCAGGATGAAACAAGGAGCAGGCAGGACACAACCAGCCAGGTCCAACCCTGCTGGGAGGTGCAGGGTTGATGCTGCAGCAGCTGATGAACACGTTGGAATCACCAAGACCCTGGGACAGCTCAGCTCACGGATGGAGGGTGGTGAAAGTGGAACCAAATGCTGTCCTGCAGCAGCTGGGGTGGTGCTGCAGGGTGGTGAGAGCCTGAGCCATCTCTCACGCTCATCAGCTTCTGGCTTCTTTAAAGAAAGGAGATAAAATCAGGCAGACAAGGAGAGGCTCTGCGGTGTAACCAGCCCGGGCTTGGTGTGCTGCGCTGCTTCACGTGGCTTCTGCCACCACCACTGTCACAGAGAAGGTGGCAACACTCAGGAGAAGCAAAGACAGGAGGTGCGTGTCCTGAGCTCAGCCTGCAGCTCAGGGAAGCTGCAGGGGCTTTTCTCCTTAGGCTGCACCAGCAGGCATTTGTGCTGGTTTCATAAGACCAGGTGCTGGCAAAGCACCAACCATCACGGTGTCTCCACTGGGTTTTCCAGTAGAAGGGACGTGTGGGTGTGGGCAGGGTGCCACGAGTGGGCCAGGCACGTGGCCTCGAACAGTGGCCCCATGGCTTCACCAGCCTTGCTGAGTGTTTTGGGAAAAACCCTAGGGTAGGTGGATGGCATTCTGGACGCAGGATGGGGATGGGACCAGGCACAGCTGGGCTGCTCTTGCCTCTGCCCCTGGCCATGCTCAGGCCCTGCTGCCAGCAGCAGCTGTGATGCAGCAGCTCCATAGCCTGTTCCTGCCTAGTGACCACCAGCCTCGGGGAAACTCGAGAATCAACATGTTTTTCTCCACCCAAGAGCAGTTTTGGGCTCTGGAACAGCCTGCAGGTCCCAGCACTGTCCCTTTGCCCACCTGCACAAGGGCAGAGAACAGCACAGGGAGGAGCCCCTGGGCAGGGCACAGGGAGGAAAGGGGATGCACGGGGATCCTTCTGCGATCTGGGGCCAGCAGCAGCAAGACAGACACCATCTCCAGCTCTGCAGGCAGCCCGGGGCTCGTGGCTTTGCTCTGCCACCTGCTGGGGATAGGACAAGGTGGGGAGAGGACAGGGCAGGACTGTGCAGGGATGTGGGGCAGAACCAGCCCTGACTGATGGACACACCTCGGGTTTTATTTTCAAATACAAGAATAGGTCAAACCCTCCAGGGTGTGGGTGGCACCAGGTTCCTGGGTGGGACAGGGGCTGCCCTGCCCTGTGACAAGCAGTGCAGAGAGCACCATCCAGCTCTATGGGCACCAACCTGTCCAAGCACCCACTCGGAACAGTGAAATCCCAGGACAGATGCTCCACTCATGCACCGGTCTCCCAACTTCCTCCAGCAGTGTCCCAGGAGCAGGGTGGGCTCCAGCTTTTCCTGCCTCTCCCTGCTCACTCCATGGCCACAGGCGGCTGTTGCCCCTCCACATCCCGCGTCTTGGAGTTCACCAGCTCCCTCCGGATCTCCGGCGAGATCTGCGGGTGGCTGTGGAACTTGAGCAGCTCGAGCAAAGCCTCCTTCTGCTCCGAGGAGAGGTCCTCCTTGTAGCGCTGGGCGAAGGCCAGGAAGCTCTGGTGCCACAGCACGGGCAGGACCCGCTGGTCCGTGCGGAAGGCCAGGAAGTGGAAGACAAGGGCGTCCACCACGCGGAAGGGCAGCGCGTACTTCTTGTCGATCAGCAGCCGCAGGAAGATGCTGTTGGCGCCGCTGTACTGCATCTCAGCCAGCTTCAGCATGGCCGCGCTGGGACACGGGCAGAGGTGAGGGCAGGGGACACAGGACATGGGCAGAGGTGAGGGCAGGGGACACGGGACATGGGCAGAGGTGAGGACAGGGGACACGGGACACAGGCAGAGGTGAGGGCAGGGGACATGGGACACGGGCAGAGGTGAGGGCAGGGGACACGGGACATGGGGAGCAGGTGAGGGTAGAAGCTATGGGACACGGAGCAAGTGAAGGCAGGAGCCACGGGCGACCAGGCACCAGGTGACAAACCCAGCACTGAGCCTTGAATCCCAACCCCAGAGGGAGCTGGGTGAACCCCCCAGCTCTGAGATGCCATCAAGGCTGTGGGACAGATCCAAGTGTTGCACCCGTGTCCCTCGGGGAGAAGAGCTGCCCCCACCCCGGGCTCCCCGAGCGTTACCTGGAGTGCAGGACAGGGATGGAGCACTTGGTGAGGATGCTGCCGATGATGATGGCCTCCCGCAGCGTGCAGGTCCCTGACTCACACAGGGGGATGAGGATCCCTGGGGAGGGCAAGAATGAGGCACTGCCTGTCCCACGGCAGCAGGCAGAGCTGTGGGGCTCAGCCCCTTCTGTCTGAGGACACATCTGAGCCCAGGAGGTACCAGCTCCTGCACCAACTGCTGTTACAGGCCTCACAGCATCTCCCTGCTGTGACACAAGCCCCACACACCCTCAGGCTGCCAGGCAAGAGCCAGATCAGAACCAAGCAAGGGTCAGAAGGGCGTCCCTACCTTTAAACCAGGCTGCTGGCTTGAACAGGGCCTTCTTCAAAGCCATGTAGAGGTGAAAATTGAGGCGCTTGTACTCGGCAATGTCATCCCTGACCCGTGGCAGCAGCACCAGGTTGTAGAACCTCTGAGCCATCCTCTCCTTCAGGTTGGATGAAAATATCCTGGGAAAAGCAAAGCACAAGGTATGACAAGCTGGGGACAGGCTGGCATTTTGTAAATTAGTTCCAGTTATGGAAAGGAAAAGCTAAAGAATCCCCCATCAGGAGCTCCCAGAGATGATCTTACCTGGTGGCTTGGTACATGGCAGCTGCTGTCCATGCCTCGGGCTCTGTGATGTAGAGGATCTGCTCCCAGTTGGACAAGGCAGGAATGATTTTAAATGCCTTGGGGAGTTTCCCACTCCTGTATTTGGACAGCACCTTAAAAGAAGCAGATAAAGGCTAGCTTGTGGCATACGGGTATGGACAGCAAGGCTGTGGAACTTGTCCCATGACCATGTGAAAGTTCATCTCCTCCCTCAGCATCTCTAGCAAGAAGGAGCATCCCAGGATCATTCTGAGCATGATGCTCAAGTCACTCTCTGGACCCTTCAATGACTGCCAAGTCAATATTATGCCAAGTGCAGGTAACACAGAGGGACTTGTGCAGAGTGAGGATGGGGACACAGCCTCTGCGAGGGAGAGCAATGGGCAGAGCTGGTGCCTGTGGAGCTCAGCACCGTGTCTGCTGGACCCCTGGGGCAGAGCAGCTTTGGCCATACCTCTCTGACCCCCCTGTAGACCTCCAGGACGCGGGGGTCGAGCTGGGGCATGGGACAGCCTGAGACCTCAGACAGTGCTGTCTCCACCTCCGTCTGCTTCTCGGTGATCTTCTCCATGATGATGTCTGCCAGCGTGCGCCTGGGCCGAGCCGGGAGGGGAGCAGGTCAGGGGCCTCGCTGGGACGTCTCGGCCACTGTCCTGTCCCAGCCTCCTCCTCCAGCCTCCTCACCTCAGCGGGGGGTTCTTGTTCATGAACATCTCGATGGCTTTCTCATCCTCGGGGTCCACCTCCACCTCCCCGCCGTACTCCCCGCTCCTTCTGGCCGCCGCTGCCGCCTTCTTCAG